CTGTGGGTCCCGGTTTCCCCTGGCGGGCTCTGCCGCTCAGGTCGGACGGGGCTCGCGTTTCCCTGCAGGGAAATCCAGCTGGGGACACATCCTCAACGGGACCTGGGGGTGGGACATGACACTGGGGACAGGATAGGGACACTGGGGACAGGATAGGGACACTGGGGACAGGATAGGGACACTGCGGACAGGACAGGGACACTGAGGGACAGGATGGGCTCTGGGGGACAGGATGGGCTCTTGGGGACAGGATGGGCTCTGGGGGGTCAGGACAGGGACACTGCAGACAGGACAGGGACACTGAGGGACAGGATGGGCACTTGGGGACAGGATGGGCACTGGGGGGTCAGGACAGGGACACTGAGGGACAGGATGGGCTCTTGGGGACAGGATGGGCTCTGTGTCCTCACTGCTCCTTTGTGCCAGGCTCTGGGGTCGCTGGGGCTGTCCCAGCTCGGGCAGGGGCTCCTGGCTCGGGATCCGCTGTTCCTGCTGTGGGTAAATGCTGAGATCTCAGAGCCAGGAGCTCTCCAGACCCTGCCCAGGATTTCCCGGGGTCCCCTCTGCGGTGGCCGCTCCAGCAGCCCCGGGGCTTGGGGATGTGGCTGAGGGATGTGGCTCAGGGATGTGGCTGAGGGATGTGGCTCGGGGCTGTGGCTGAGGGATGTGGCTCTGGGATGTGGCTGAGGGATGTGGCTGAGGGATGTGGCTTGGGGATGTGGCTCGGGGCTGTGGCTCGGGGCTGTGGCTCTGGGATGTGGCTCAGGGATGTGGCTCGTGGTGGCCGACAGGCTGCACTGCTGCTCACCAATCTTCGCTCCAGGTACCGCCCTGGGGCCGGGGAAGGGCTCGAGTCCGGCCAAAGGGAACTTTGGGCAGGGGCAAGAAGGAATGGGATCCTGTCACCCGTGTCCCTGGCTGAGCCTTTGGAGTTACCGGCTCGGGGAAGAGGCTGGCATGGGTTTGTAAGCTGGGAAGTAACAGGGAATGCAAATAAAATAAAAATAAAAGCAGGATTTAATGGAGACATTTCTTCAGTGCCTCCAGGAGAGCCCTGGAGGGGCTGA